GGTGGACTACAACTCCCATCATCCCTAGCTGAGGGATAAGGGAAGCCTGTAGTCCTTCATATACTGGTGGACTACAACTCCCATCATCCCTAGCTTAACTGAGGGATAAGGGAAGCCTGTAGTCCTTCATATACTCATGGACTACAACTCCCATCATCCCTGACCACTAGTCATGAGGGCTGGGGCCGCAGATCCCGCAACTCCGGCCTAGCCTTTCTCCCCAATCCAGCAGTTCTCACCTGCTATGATTCATGAGGACAAGCCCCACTGGAACACACCCCTTCCAGGCATTTTGGGGTGATGGTGGAGACTGTTTCTGCACACCCTTTGCTCCACTTTGCTTGTGTTCTAATCCAGGGCCTGCAGCTCTCATCAATCCCAGCCAGCATGGCCAATGGCCAGGACTGATGGGAGTTGTAGTCCCAGTAACAATTGGAGGGAAGCAGGCTTTCACAGCCTAGCCTTATGGCTGGGAGCAGTGCTATTTTTCTAGGAAAAGAGGTGCCGTAACTCACCATGAAGGGGACGCGGGTGGCGCTGTGGGTTAAACCACAGAGCCTAGGACTTGTCAATCAGAAGGTCAGCGGTTCGAATCCCGGCAACGGGGTGAGCTCCCGTTGCTCGGTCCCTGCTCCTGCCAACCTAGCAGTTCAAAAGCACTTCAAAGTGCAAGTAGATAAATAGGTACCGCTCTGGTGGGAAGGTAAACGGCATTTCCGTGCGCTGCTCTGGTTCGCCAGAAGCGGCTTAGTCATGCTGGCCACATGACCCGGAAGCTGTACACCGACTCCCTCGGCCAATAAACCGAGATGAGCGCCGCAACCCCAGAGTCGTCCGCGACTGGACCTAATGGTCCGGGGTCCCTTTACCTTTAACTCACCATAAACACCTCGCTCGTTTCTCTTTGAATGGCAATAGTGCCCACCTGAGAGGTGCCGGAACTGAGTCCAGCTGGAAAAAAGCCATGGCTGGGAAACATCTGGTTTCCAACACTGTGATATATCACCAGCTAACCATTGCAATATACCAATATTTCACGATATCTGAATTAAGGATGGAGCTATGCAGAGACATTGGCTGGCTTCACGGTTTTCCCCGCATCGTGATTTTTTGCATAGCACACAAGCATACGCATCATTATTTGCGATATATTGCCAGGTCAAAAATCACGAAACCGATAACAAAATATGGACTTCAAACCAGTTTGGGGCGATATATCACCCAGCCCTGCCCAGCATCAGACCTAGAACCATATACCCTGTGAACTCGAGAGTCACGACTTTCCCCTCTCATCCTCCTCTCAAGCAATGCTATCAGGGCAGGACCCTGGGGCAGAGGTCCGGGTCCCACCCAGCAGAAAGTGCAGGCCCCCATTCCCCATATGCAGCAATGCTGGCTTACCATATTTTGAAGACAAGTGCAGTCATACACATAGGAACCAGACCACTGGTCCCAATAGCTCAGTAATATCAGGAGCTCCCAGGATTTCAGGCAGGAGTCACTCCCAGGCCTGCCCAAAGATGTCAGTGATTGGATGGACCAGAGACTTTTTGCGCGCAAAGCTGATGATCTACCTGTGAGATGCAGCCCTTCGTCATATTTGCACTGTTTACCTTGCAGTCAAAAGGTGGGGAGATTGCGATTTAAAAGCAAGTAATACACATCGCTATCTAAACAGCCACCCACATCCTCATAACACCAAGGGGGCATAGGAAGAGCACAAGACTCTTATCTCAAGGTCGTAGGTTCGAGACTCACCTTGGGCAAAAGATTCCTGCATCGGTGGGGGCTGGACTAGATGCCCCCTTGTGGTCCCTTCCAACTCTACAATTCTATGATCAGGCACATCTAGTTGAGCATCCTGCTCTCACAGTGACCAGAGCAGGACCTGGGAGCAACTGTACTTTCCCCTCCAACAGGGGAGAAAGGGTGGTGGAGAGTCTAAAATGACCTAACCACCACGGGCTTCTTTCACCTGCTGGCTTGTTCATGCATCGTCCAGTGAACCCAGGAGTCCGGCCTCCCAGGAGTCCAGCTGCCCTCATTCACTCTCGCCTGATAGGCCCCAACCCTGCACATATACAAAGCGATGAGTCCCTCCCCTCCCCAAGTCTGCCTTTCCCAGAGCTTGCATCTCTGGGTAACATGACCCACCCCTGTTGCATCCACAGCCGTGTCGGATCGATAGGACACCTTGTCGCTGCCAGAAAGAGGAATCCTAACACCGTCCCGCAAACTTTTCCCGCAACCCCCTTGATGGAAGTGATTGCCACTCGATTCACCTATGGGGGGGGTGGAATCCATATATCCCCTCCGTCCTGATTCTTAATATTGGTTTCCTTCTAATTCCAGTAATGGGGGGAGGGGGCGACTGCTGCGTTTCTCCAAAATGGGAACAGAATTTCTAGGAGGGGAAAAAAGGAGTTGCATGAAATTCTTCCAGGAGGTTTTGGGATGGTGGGTGGGGAGCTGGGAGGCAGGATTTTTTAGCAGGCAGGGGTGGGGCCTAGTGGGTTGAGTGAGAGCTCCAATATTCACAAGCAGGGTAGAGAAGACCACAAATCCCATCATCCTGGCCATTGGAGGTTCTGCTTGTGACTGATGGGAGTTGGAGTCTCAGCAACACCTGGAGGCTAACAGGCCATCCTTGGTCCAAAGCAAAGCATCTGAAATCAAGAAGCAAAGATGGAGCAAGGCAGGTGATTCTGTTGAGACTCCATTTCCCATCATCCCCAGCCAGCAGGGCCAATGGCCAGGGATGATGGGAGTAGGAGTCCTGCAATAGCTCAGTTGGTAGATCATGAGACTCAGACTCTCAGGTTCACGGGTTCCAAGCCCCACATTGGGCAAAAGATTCCTGAATTGCGGGGGGTTGGATTAGATGACCCCCATGGTTCCTCCAAAGTCTACAATTCTATGAGAATATCTGGAGGGCCACAGGCTCCTCCATAGGAGAAAACAATTCATACTTTCCTTAAACTAGCACACAATGCAGTTCACACATGCATACAAAGGACACACACCAAGCAAATAGCATAATACTGTAGTTCACAAGACAAATATTGTGGATGCATTTATTTTTGTTTAATACATGACAAATTCCCCACGTGGATACTGCTTTTCTACGGGACTGGGGTGGGAAACGTGTGGCCCTCTGGAAGTTGGTGGACTACAACTCCCATCATCCCTGGCTGCACAGGCTGGGGATGATGGGAGTTGGAGTCCAGCAACATCTACAGGGACCTAGTTTCCCGCGGCCTGATACAGAAAGTTGCATTTACTCTGCATGAACACCTGTAACATGCATGATAGGCACACGAGTCTATTAGGCCCAATATACACAAGGCAAAACAGACACGCATGTCCATCACTGTTTCCTACAGAATGCATGCAGGGAAAGTGTGAAAAATTTTGATTGACGACCCCCAGCTACTCATGCCTTGAATAAAAGTATCCCCAATCTCCCAGCCATGTTTTCCTCATTCAGCTACACAGACACACACGCACGCACACGTTAACATCTCCCATCTCTAATGTGAGTTGCGAAGCTGCAGCGCATGCAAACGCACAGGGTGTTACTAGAATCCTATTTATTGCACACAGAAAAACAGCTGCTCTATCGCACTCGCACCCTTGGTGCGTTCACAAACCAAGCGCGAGCTATGGTGGTGTTACACACGCCCGGTCACGGGATGGCTGTTGACACACGTGTTTCACGCAAAAGGCTGGGGGAGAGGGGAGGACGCTGCATGGGCGCCAGTGCTTCAGGTACCCTTGTGCAAATCACACCCTCTGCCTCGTCTGGGCAGGCACGCGCACATGCACACGCGTGCACATGCGTGTGAGCTCCCTCTGTTCTCGAACTCTACAGAACGCCTCTGGCTATCACGCCTGTTCTCACTGCCCTCCTCTGCTCCAGGGGACGCGGCCTTCACTGACCTTCCTCCCTGCCTCGCACCCCTTCTCCTCCTCGCACCCAAGCCTCCCCTTGCCTCGCACCCACGCCGCCTCCCCCCTGCACACTCCCTGGCACACGAGCGTGCACACAGACACAGGAGGCCAGCTCTGGCTGCCGAAATGCTCCCCTAATCACATTAGCAGCGTGTTGGCACAACAGCCGCCCCGGGGAGGCTGGCCCATTGTCTGTGCCCTGACGTGCTGAGCCCTGCCAACCGCCTCCTAATTACACCCTGTGCCAGGCAGGGGTGTGTGTGTGTGTCTGTGTGCATGCATGCGGGGGAGGCCTGTGCAAGCCTGATGGGTGCTGCCCCCATCACCCGCCCCCACCGCCAAAAACCAGCAGGGGCCCAGTATCCATACATTGCTGCCTGGCTGCATGCAGCTGCAGCGCATCCACGTTCCTCCTCCCTTACCCCCCCCCACGCAAAAAAAAAAGAAGCAGAGCGTTTTAACGTGGCCCTAAACCACTTGCACCCCTGTTCCACTGCACCCCAGACATTGCTCCCTTCTCTCTTCCCTCCCCCATCCTCAGCTCTTAGGCTTCCCCACCAAGACCCTACCCCATCTCATCTTTTCCCCCCACCTGTGCCTCGCCCCCAAGCCTGCAGCCCGCCCGCCCCCCGCCTTTCCAGATGCACCCCTCAATCAAATGCCCCCTGGCCCCACCTCCCTCTCGCGTTCCAGCCACCTGCATGCCTCCACAGCCCCCCTGCTGCCCCCCCCAAAGTGCCCCCCTCTTTTCTCCCTACGGAGCACCCCTTTCTGCTCTCGCCCTACACCCGGCCCACCTGTACCGCACTTTCCTCCTCCTCTCCGCAGCGTTTCCTTTGATGTCCGTGGGTCGGGGGGGGCCTCGACCATGCACCCTCCCTCTTCTCAGCGCACCCCTTATTCTCTTCTCCCACCAACACCTCCTCCTCCGATGGGGAAAGCAAAGCAACCAACCCCCGACCGCATCGCCCGGCCCTGCGCCCTGTCTCAGCGGTAGGGGCGGCGGCGGCAGCAGCAGCAGCGCCCGTCCGGAGTCGCCTTTCCCTTACCTGCAGGACAGAGGCGGCAGCGGAGTAGCCGCTGCTTGCTGCGCGAAGGGCGGGCGCCTTGTTGAGCTCCACGACCGCCGCCTCCCTCGCCCGGCTGCCCGGGGGCTGGCGCTGCCGGCCGAAGCGGCGGCGCTAGAGGGCGCGCGTCCTGGAAAGGGATGGATGGATGGATAGATGGAAGGAAGGAAGGAAGGAGGGGAGGAAAGAGGAGAGGTGGGGTGGTGGTGGGCGAAGAGAGCTGCAGCAGGCAGCCCTCTTCCCCAAACCCGGGGGGGTCAGGGGGCGGCGGGAAGGAACAGGAGGGTTCCCCGCGTGGAGAGGCTGCAAGCGGAGGCTGGACGGCGGCGCCCGTGCGTTGCGCGTGTACACGGGCTGTGCATCGCCGGGGTGCATGGCCCAGCGTGCGCGCGCACGCCCAGCAAGGCTCTAGGAGCGGCGGTGCATTTTCTGGGTTCCGGGGCGGGAACTGGGGCAGCCCCCGGTTTTGCAAAGGCATCTTGGAGGCGCTAGGTGGTGCAGATGGACGCCGGTGGTGGGTGCCCTTAAAGGGAGGGTCGAGGAAGGGGAGTCCGGCAAGGCAGAAGGTGCCCCGGAGATTGCCAACTTTGCAAGAGGTCCCTTTGGATCTGGGGAAAGAATTAGCAGGGCCAAGACAGCCTTTACTTTACTGCCTGGTTATTTTTATTTTTATTTGCTGTGAAGCGCCTAACAGGCCAAGCAGGTTGCTTCTCTGCTCCTTCCCCCAGTTTGCACCCCCGACGTGCGCAAGGAGAGCTTTGCGCATTTGGGGAGCGGACCTTTCTTCCTTCGCCCTCGCCTTCTGCTTTTAACAAGCGGTTTCATGTGCAGGAACTGAGCTTTGGGAGCCCTTCCTGCTATCGGTGATGGGAAGGAGATTCATGCGCTTAATTTCTGCATGATTCCTTAATTTCTGCATTGTTGGTGCCACAGGAGAGTTAAAGGGTAGGTAGGGGATGACGACAACAATAACTCGCCCCATTCCTGCCCCGTGGCTGGACTTTTGTTACTGGAAGGGAGGATTTCATAATTTCCATCCTAGCTCCTTATAACTGAATCATTTAACTGGAGGTTAAATCCAGGCTACTATAATCCTAAACGTGCTTCCACGACTTCAGAGAAGAGATGTTAGGATTGGGGTGCTGAAGTGAGTCCTGCAGGTATAGGGCAGTATATTAATAATAATATAATAATAATAATAATAATACTGCCCTCATCTCTCTCTCTCAGAAATCTAACATGTAGGGAGACGGTTGTCTCACCAGAAATTCACTTTGCCCCTTCCGTGCTCCCTGCCTCAGTTTGTTTTAATCTATAAAACAATTGTTGTTTAGTTGTTTAGTCGTGTCCGACTCTTTGTGACCCCATGGACCAGAGCACGCCAGGCACTTCTGTCCCGGCAGAGGACGAGGTGGTTGGACAGTGTTCTCGAAGCTACCGGCATGAGTTTGACCAAACTGCGGGAGGCAGTGGGAGACAGGAGTGCCTGGCGTGCTCTGGCCCATGGGGTCACGAAGAGTCGGACACGACTAAACGACTAAACAACAACAATTGTTTTATAGATTAAAACAAACTAAGGCAATACTAACAATATTAACAATACTAACAACAAAATAGCAACCAAACTAAGGTTGCCATATTTCAAACAGTGAAATATGTTTCACTGTTTTTTTTGTTGGTTTTTTGCCAAAGTTGTTGAGCAAAATCACATTAAAAAGTAGATGTTTTGGAACTATTTTTTTATGGAAAGGTTGCCATATGTCGATTTCCACCAGGACACTGCTACCAACTGCAGTATTCCAGATATGTCTGGGGAAATTCCAGGTGTATGGCAACCCTAAAATAAGCACTATTGAAATTGTGCGTGCACACACATGCGCACACACCTGGCAACCGGCATGAAACATACGCACTGGGTATGTTTGCATAATTTCTCATTGTCGGAATTTTGAATTTTAAAAAATGATTCTGCACAAGTTGCGAGCATTTGTGAGACACTGAGGCTGCGCCCAATGAGTGTTAAAATTGATTCATTGAGACATTTGTATGGCTTCTGCAGTTTTAACAAGTATTGCCTCCTCGCTTCCAAGCCAATCTTGGCATTCTTATGGACTAGAAACTTCCTTTAAAAAAACAAACCCACGAACACTCAAGTATTGCTTCCAGGATTTTTTTTTTTAAATGCTCCCAGGAATTTCAACATACACTCAGCGCTTCTGAGCCTGGTCTTGGCTGGGGAGGGCGGGGTATAAATAATAATAATAATAATAATAATAATAATAATAATAATAATAATAATTAGATCAGGCCAGGCTTAGTGCAAGAAGCTTCATAGTAGATTGTGTGTGTCTGCATGCTAGGCTGGGTACCTGTGCAAGTGCCACATGCTCCCGTTTTATGGTGCATTGAGAAGCCGCTTGGACATCTGTGCAACATGGAGCAAGCTCCTGTTAGCATTTCACAGCCGGGAAGGTGTTCCGTTTACCTTCTGGGACTGTGGAAAGAGACAAGCCACGGGGACACAGCATCTGTGGAGCCACAGCACTGGGGCAGAGGGAGAATGCTCGTTCCCATGCACACAGAGTGCACAGATTCTGCGATGTCCTTCTGCATATACACACTAGGGCTGCCAGGTTTTGACTGTGCACCGACAGAAATGAATGTAATTTCTTTATGCCTGTATGCCTGATGCTCAAAGCACATCCACCCGCCGGCACAGATTTACCTTGTTGGATTTACCTGCAAAAGCAAGTCTGGGTTTCTTGCCTGTGCACATGCTTTTTCATACAGACCGCACCAATGTGAAGAATCTTTTTTTCCGCCTGAGCACCACGTTCTCTGTGGAACCTTCTGAGCGTCACATGCCTGTGGTGGGTGGGGCCAGACGCAAAAGTGGGTGGAGCAATGAATTTACATTTTTCCTTTGTACGTTTCTAGACACCCCCTACTCCCCAATCCAGACAGGCAAGAGACATGATCAGAGTTCAAGGCCACATTGCAGCCAGGCAAAAACATTCCAAGTGTGAAGCCACATTTGACCTCTGGGCCCGAGATTCCCTGCAAAACCATATTCAACATATTGAATGCATTCATGTTTACATTAGTTAGTCGTCCCATAATGTAAGTGCTCTTAGCTCACATTCATAACTAGTTATCCTTGCCGGATTCATTCCTTCTTTTCCTCTGTGATGAAATGATGTATGTTAGATTGGTCTCAACGAGGGCCAGGGCCTTTTCAGTGCTGGCCCTGACTTGGTGGAACGCTCTGTCACAAAAGACTAGGGCCCTGCAGGACTTGACATCTTTCTGCAGGGCCTGCAAGACAGAGCTGTTCCGCCTGGCCTTTGGTTTGACCCTTATGTTTTCCCTCCCCTATGGTTTTGATCTATGGGCTACTTTTAAAATGAGGCTGCATTTTAAATTGCATTTTAACCTGTATTTTAAATTGCCCCCCCCCCCGCCACCCTATTAGGTTTTTACTGTAATTTTACTGGTGTTAGCCGCCCCGAGCCCAGCTCTGGCCTGGGAGGGCCGGGTATAAATAAAATTCTTCATTATTATTATTATTATTATTATTATTATTATTATTATCTCCCACCCTTTAAAAATTAGATTGTAAGCTCACGGGGGCAGCAGCCTCCTGGAGTTGTATTAAACTGAGGTTGCTCTATAAAGTTCCATGTGAATTGATGTTAGAAATAATAAAGGGCTCCGCTACGGAACAACTGTAGTTTAATTTGCAGATTCTGCATCCTCTTCTGTAAGGCTTGTTTGACAGTTTGTGTGTAACATCAAAACAGAAGGAAGTTTAATAGACATGTTTGAGGTGCTAGTCTTTGTTTCGAGCTTGCATATTAGCTATACACACACACACACATTTACGCAGGAGGTGGTTGTTGTTGACTTCTTTCTGTCTCAAGAGACAATGGAGTGCACCTTCGGGGGTGAAGTCAAACTGCTGCGTTACCAGCACCAAAGTGACCTCTTCAGGGCGCAAGCCTGGGCAGGGTGTATGGAGGTCCTGGGCTGCCCAGACGACAAGACCCTCCTCTCAGCCGTGCTGATGAGGTCCAAAGGAAAGCAAAGCAATACATTTTGCACCAGCTTGGCTGCAGGAGTTGCTGCAAGGAGACGTACAAGACGCCATCCGACCATTTTAGGGACTCCACTGCAGATTTGTTTGGGTTTACTCCTTAGCCTTTTCTTTTCCCGAATGTATCTCACAAAACAGTGGAGGTTTAGGCTCAGAGTTTTCTTTCTCCTAGATGGGCTGCTTACCTTCCCAGGTTGATGAACCCCATCTGCGGCAGATCTGCCCCTCGCTTTCCTCTACAGCACATGCAGAAACCGCCTCATTGACTGTTGAACCCACTATTGGTCCTGTCTGCTCAATCTGCCAGAGCCTGTCTTTGCATGCAAGGGTAAGTCGCTAACTCACTGAGACCCATCAGCTGACCCTCTGTTAGAATTCCTGCTCCATGATTGCAGTCATGGGATTTTTGTCTATCACATGACGGTGTGTGTTTTGACTCCACAAACTGGGAAGTGACGGAGACAGGATGTTTGTGTTACTGTGTTCCGTGAAGTGGGACTATTGTCCTTTGTTCTTTTTCTCTTTGCTGTCTGATGCTAGAAAGAGAGGGAGCCATGTTGCAGTGCTCCGTGTGTGTTTATATGTAAATAAAGTAGATTAGCCAAAATGCTGAGTTGCTGAGGTCTGTTATGCAACTGCGAAGACTCTGCGGATCCCTAAGTGTGCCGATGTCTGTTGGCATCAGTCGCTGTGATGTTTGGGCTGAAGAAAGCTTTTGGAGCTCCCAAACGAACGACCAGGAGGGAGAGAGCATGCCAGTCGGGCATGTGTCTCTACCAGGGTCCTACTCGAGTGTAGGACGAGCTCCTGACACCCTCACCTGGTTTAGCTGGGCAGTCGAAGCTATTCCCGGGGTGTTGCTGCTGTCACATGCTGATAGCTTCTAGGAGCCACAGGTGAGAGCTGAGTGCAGGATAGGGAGAAAAAGTGGACAAATCAAGGAGCACGATGTTCCCCCCTGCACTGCCCCTCCACTAACACCTGGTGTCTCCTTTGAACTCCCAGGACATTTGAACAAATCTTGGTGTGTACATTGGGAACACGACTGCATGCTTCAAATTCACCATCTCTCCCAGCTTCGTGTCCATTTTCAAGGAGAGGCAGGAAACTGCAAAAAGCTACAAAGCAATTTTCAACTTAAAGATTGAGAGCTCAGTGTATGCTTGTTTATAAATTTCATTACCCATCTGAAGTTTGGTCATACACACTTTACGTTTCAAAGGGTGTAGGGAGGAAAATACAGAACACATTGTCATGCAGATTATGTTGTGAAGACTGTGATATCACGGGGAAGAT